TTAAACATTAGAACCCTGTATCTAGTGTGTCACTATCTGCAGTTTCAAATACATTTTTTCTTATTCAATAACTCCAATATAATAATTTGGTCACCTCTGGACAGTGAGGGATTCAGTTGGAGTAAATCTGGAATCGCAGCTCCGCGTGTCATCTCTCCTCATGAACAACCCTAGCTTGCGAAGTGCAGAGGGGAGCTGCAATGCATGCGGGGGGGGGCGCGGCAAGGACCTTGCATAGCGAGACCAAGTAGCCAACGCCCCGCAACACCAGCCTCTCGCAGAGAATCTTTAAGGATACTGCTTACGTGCAGAAATGATCTGGACTATTTTCAATCATGACAAGCAGACAATACAAATGGAAACGTCAACAAGTGTAAACACACGAAATTGGTTGAAATATCAAGTAAGCTCATTCCGCCATCAAACTATTGTGCATGAAATCACTCTCCCTTCAGAGACGCCTCCACATTTCTTTACCCTCAGGCTTTGCCGGCCCCCGAACCTAACCTAACTATTCTCGTAGCCCATGTTGATTAATTATCCTGAATTGCCTCCACTCTGGATGAGACTTTCTTCACCGCCTCCCCACCGCCTTCTACGTGTTCTTTCTTTGCGCCAGAGACGTAGCCCTCTCCCTTGCCCGTGTCTCCCTCGGCATTCACATTCTTCGCGCGATACCCCTCCCCTCCTCTCCACATCTCTCGCTCCGATCTGACTCCGCCCTTCTGCGCCACGCGAAAGCTCCCAGTCCCTTCCTCTCCGTGACCTACCCTTCCTGTCTTCGCAGCTCCGTCGGCCATGCATCGCTCACCGCCGCAACCCTCTCGGCTGCCACCCTCGCTGCAGCCTCCGCCGCCGCCGCCCAGCCCTTGCTGCCCTGCACCGGCGATCCCTCCACCCGCGCGCTCTGCGCTCTGCGCCCCGTTTTCTTCCATTCCCCTCTCCTTTCTCGCTCTGCCCCTGCTCCGCCCTCGCTGCGCGCCCTCGGGGTGCTTCGCTCCATGCCTCCTGCGCCCCTTCACTTCTCCTTTCCGTCGTCTATTCCGTCCGGAGACCGACCTTTCCTTTCATCGCACTGCCTTTGTTCATTCATTGCTCTACACCGCACCCCGGTGGCAGCTTTCGCTCCAGACATGTGCGCCTTCTGCCTTCGTACTTTGCACTAGTGAGCCGTCCCTCCAGCCCGTGTTACGCTGTCTCCACTTGACTCCCTGTCCCTGTGCTCCCTGACTCCCTGTACGTTCTGTTTTCCTTGCTTGCTTCCCACGTGCTCGACTCAGTCCCCGTCCCTTCCCCATGTTGTTTCTCTCCTAACGTTCTTCTCATTTCACTGCTATTGTCCATTTGTTTGTATCCATTGTTCCATCAGACGGTAGGAACGGCAATACAACCTCATCTCAGGCTCCTTATCTTCTGCTAGCAACCTTCTCCTTCTGCTAGCAACCAACTCCTTAATTCTACACTCCCCTCCTCTCTCCCATCTTCTTGTTATTCTCCCATTCTCCACTCCTTCCCCGCTCCGCTCAAAATGCTGCCCTTTCCCCAGATTGATTCCCGGCCTGCCCTTCCTCTGTCACAAGCAGTCGTCCATTTGTCTCTGTGCCACACTCTTCTCCCCGTTGCAATCATACTTCATGCCTCCAGCATCCCCATGCTTTTTTACCTTGTGCTAGACCCCATCCCCTTTTTGGCCCCCGATCCCCGCTTCCCTCTCCCCTTTTCTCTTCCCTTCCCCCACTCTGAGACGAGCCCACGCCCTCCTCCGTCTGTCGCTCCCGAACTAACGCAGCTATCGTCCGTTTGTTTTCATCTCAGGTACCCCTGCTCTTCATACTATACTGCGATTTATCCATATCTGCTCCTGGTAGATATCAACTGTAAACCTTTCATCCAATCACAATCTTGAACGTCACCATAGTGACATCACTATGGTGAGGCTCAAGCTCCCGATTGGATGAAACGTCAACAGCACATACCTGCCAGGGGCAGAGTTGAGAAAATTGCAGTACAATCTTCCGTCGTATTGTCCTTTTCTTTGCTTCCCCCGTACCCCTCGCCCATACTGCTGCCCGTTCCACACTTCGATCGCCGACCGGACCTTCCTCTCTCACACAGCTCTTGTCCACGTGTCACCAGCACCCGGTTGCACCCGCCGCCGTGGACTCGGGCTTGCGACCTTACGCTGGTGGCCCCACTCCGCCCCCGCTCCATCCGCCGCTCCGCCCCGCTCCGCCCCCGCTCCCGCCCGCCCCGCTCCGCCCCCGCTCCGCCCCGCTCCGCCCCCGCTCCGCGCCCGCTCCGCCCCCGCTTCCGCCCCCGCTCCGCCCCCGCCCGCCCCCGCCTCCGCCCCCGCTCCGCCCCCGCTCCGCCCCCGTTCCGCCCCCGCTCCGCCCCCGCTTCGCGCCCCGCTCCGCCCCCGCTCCGCCCCCGCTCCGCCCCCGCTCCGCCTGCCGCTCCGCCTCCGCTCCGCACCGCTCCGCCCCGCTCCGCCCCCGCTCCGCCCCCGCTCCGCCCCCGCTCCGCCCCCGCCTCGCCCCCGCTCCGCTTCCGCTCCGCCGCCGCTCCGCGCCGCGCGCGCACGGGCACTTCGCCTCGCGCCTGCGCCCTCGGGGCCGGATCCCAATTCTTCCTGCGCCGGCCGCCCCGCCGTAATTGCATTTTCTTTGCCTCCGCAGCTGCTCCGCGCCCACGCGCCGTCCCAGCGGACCTTCCCACCCCCACCCCCACCCCACCCCACCGCCTACGATGCGATACCTACTATAGCGGCCAGGCGTCAACATGTTTCTCAGCTCTCACAATTGCCTGACACCGTGCCAAGCTTCATATATTTCGGTTTTACAATCAAAGGAAATGAACCGAATGAAATGACGTAAATAAGATTGACTAAAATTTTCATCATTGATTAGTGATTCCAGGATTGTGAAATGCTAAGGTGATTGGTCTCGTAAGTGTAGTGCATTTTTATCACGGCTGATGGCGATCTTTGCCCACTGGATGGTGAGATCCGTCGCTATCTCCCAACAGCGTGGCTCCCATCTGGTCCACCAACATGTGACGGTTAGAAAGAATATAACAACTTAGTATAGCTTGTAAATCACATGGCGTCAAGTTTATATGAATTTTCATTGTATAAGAGCTTTAGTTATCCATTTTGTGAGTATTTAGAGCAGTGAATAACGTTGTTCAGGAGTCTTCGTGTTTATTACGTATGTAGATCCAATAGGAATACCTTTTTCATTTTCTTTTCATTTCTTTCTTTCTTCTGTACGTACACCAGTAACTAACCTTTATTTATGTATTGTTGGCTTAGAATTTATTCCTATCTTAGAATAACTTGCACATTGCAGTAACATGGAGTGAGCGAAGGGTCTTGTTGGGTATTACAGATTTTTGCTACGCTTGAATTGTCAGATGTGGGTTATTTGGATTATATTGAATAGACGTTGCCGCGTAAGTATGCTACGTGATGTACTGATGTATGAAGGGTTGGATGTTCAGCTCCTTAACGAATACCATAGTGACCAATTTTTCATCTCGTTCAGAAGGGAGCAAAAGTTGTAGAGAGATCGACAAGAAAAGAGAAGGAGAGAACGAGACGAAAACAAAGAGCGTCCGCCCTCAATTACTCGTAGCCACAGCCCCCTTCCCTTCCGCGGCGGCAGCGCGTGCTCCGAATCGCCGAACGCAGGAATTGGCTTCATTAGCGCAAGTGGCCCCGCTGAAGTTCACCGGGAGCGAGACGCGTGAGTGTTCGTTGAGTCGAGAATTTGTTTGCTCCCGACGATGCGTTTGTGTAAAGGGAAAAAAGCATGCATTAAGCGCAGTTACGGCTCTAGAGACGGTACTTGCGAAAGAACTTGCTGTAATTATTTTTCCTTAATGGCAGCAAGTTGTGCCAGTTTTGTAGACTAGTAAAAACTACGAAATGTTGTACTCAAGTGTGCACCACGTACGCTAAATTTTGTTTATATTAGCGACGGTTCCGTAGAAAATCTAAATTAAGTGTCTACATAATTAAAATTTGATATTTGGAATCTTGGTACATTTTACGATTACTTTTATCGGTGTAAATTCTCTAATGAGTCGGGCGAGATGAGTGAGGATTCAGCGCGTACTGATCAATTGATTGATCAGTGATTCCGTTCGCGTCAACTGCTAAGGGCATTAGACCCGTAAGTGTGGTGCATATTTTTATAGCGGAAAGTTTCGGTGATCTTTTCTAACCGGGTGACGAGATTGATGCCAACCTACCCGTTGGCTTGCGGGTTTTCCTCAACCAGGTATTTCCAATCTGCGGCCCAGCCCTCCCCCCTCCCTGCCCAGCTGTCACAAGCTCGAAGTTCCCGAGCGACCTGAACTCATTTTTAAACAACGTAAGACACCACTTTTTAATTGCGATTAAATGAAATATGTGGAACGGAGTAATGGAGAGAAGACTATCGTTTTTTCGCACAACTGTCAAGTGCCCATTATGTCGTCATAAAGTTGTTTCCGAAAATTAAACTATCATTCTCTTAAATATTTATAATGCTGTTACATAAGAGCAAGAACGCATGCAAAACCTTTATAATGCTGCTTTATTGCATTCGTACAAAGTGAATATTCGCGTCCAATATCATTTTTCAAAACACGTTCTCTTGGAATAAAGCTTAATTTGTGATTGATTGCACAATAGCTTAGAAAAAACATCATGGCGTCGCTTATATCGGGAGGCGAGGCCTCAAGGACCGCCTGCAACGATAACTGATTCGCTCTTGCAATTTAGTTCTCACGCCACAAAACTCTAGGATTCGTAACGTTCGCCAAGGCCAAGCTGTCTTCTCCCCGCCCGCCCAGGCCGAGGCGGCAGTGGCTCGTGAAGGCGGGGAACTAAGTCTCTAAGAGAGGGAAGCTTCCCCTCCGTCTTCTTCGCGCATGCGTAGTCCAGGTGTTTTCCAGGAGCCAGAACGTACTCTGCGTGGTGTTGGCTCCCGCTGACGGGCGCTGTGCGTGTGTTGCAGGTGCAGTTCGCGGTGCAGCAGACGGGCTTCAAGCGCGTGAAGCGCGGCTACAAGCCGCTGCGCGTGGAGAACCTCGTGCAGCACATGCGGCCGCAGCGCGACCCCACCGACCCCTACTTCCCGTTCCAGTGGTACCTCAAGAACACGGGCCAGAACGGCGGCAAGGCCAAGCTCGACCTCAACGTGGAGGCGGCGTGGGCGCAGGGCTTCACGGGCAAGAACGTCACCACCGCCATCATGGACGACGGTGAGCCAGGCGCCCCCGCATTCAGTTCACCTCAGTTCAATTCACTTCAACTCAGTTCAGTTCAATTCAATTCATTCAAATATAATTCAATTCATTTAAGTTTAGTTCAATTCAATTCATGTATGATCAGATCAGTTCAGTTAAGTTCAGTTCAACTCAGTTAGGTTCAGATAATTTCGGTTCAGTTCACTTTATTGAAGTTCAGTTCATTTTATTGAAGTTCAGTTCAATTCCAATTTATTATGTGGTGAGTCAAAGGCCTTCAGACCTGTTCTCACTCTTGATCACGAACATTCCACTGCCCTCCTATTGCCCTCTAGCAGATAATGATATTCACTACATTTGTGGATGGATTCTGTTTCTCGATATTCTAAAATTTTTACTACAATTTTTTTTTCTACAAAAGAAGATTCGTATGAAGAAAGATCTCTTGTCTATTAACTTCTTAGGCTGTAGCTGATGACAAACCTTCACGAAAGTGTTGATATTTCTCCGACATTATATATGAGAAATATTTTCTTTCAATATTATTGGTTTTGAGAATTGAAAATTGTATTGACAGTTGAAGTGTTATTCGAAAAAAACACTGGCAGATCCAACGAGAAACAATTGAATGATTTATTGATTAATTGCAATATTTGAGCACGGTTAATTCTATGGCCATTAGTTCCGTTTGTATAACCGAGAGATAGCATGATACTGTTCTTAACGTCTCTGAATTGTAAGATCCGGCGCCAAACTACACGTGGGTTTGCGGGGGGTTTCTCATCCAGATATTTCTCCCCAGCAGTGCCCCACCGCAGTCGAGAAAAGCTCTAAGCTCCCGACTGATCTAAAAATACGTGTCGTAGTGTAAGGGGAGAGGATAGTACGAGGAAAAGAAAGGAATATCGCGCGTGGTCCATGGCTCGTTTGTTAGGGTGCTGCTCCGTCATTGGTGTGACATACATCGGAGAAACAACGGAAAACTACCGATCAGAGCAGCCGGCCGCCAAAATTCTCCTCCAGACAGCGGCTGAATTCGCCTTATTCATCCCACTAGGCTCAAATATACGCTTTCCGGTTAGAGTGCTCGCAGAGTCAGCGGAAATCTGGCTGCGAGCGAAACTCAGCGACTAAGAGAGACGAATTTGAGCTTAAAACTTCCATACATTTCTCGAGAACATGAAGGTCAACGTCAGCGTTTTCCTTTCAGAAATATTTTTTGCCGCTGCCAAATATGTCATTGTCCTTTCCACTTTCACCTTCCCCACATTACGCTCAGATTTCTGGATTTTTCTTTCTCTCTTTTTAACGTCGGGTTATGGATCTGCACGTGCCTGTGCAGAAAAGAAAATATTGTGCTAGTCGCGATTCAGCTGTCAGAGACTGTGGGCTGTTTGCGTCGAGCTGGCGGGATGAAATCGACGGGGGGGGGGGGCAGGGGCAAGAGCTGTGCCCGCAGGCAGTGCGATGAAGGCTTGCCTACAGCAGAAACACTTCTTGTCAACCAACTTGTTCAAGATGCGGATGAAAATCAAATTTGTAGCTGCTCATTATTGTTTTAATTTTCGATTATTGCATTAATATAACCTTATTCAGTTTATATTATAAAACCTTATAAAATTAAACCTTATTCATTTGTACCTTGAAACATTTTGAAATACTAAAATAAAACATTTTTACATTCAAGCAGCAGCAAGTTTTCAGCAAAGAGTTATAGAGATTTCTGAGGAACCTATTCTCTGAGATAAATGAAAATGCACAAAACAACTGATAATAGCATGATATAAGCAGTTTGTATTAAATGGGAGATATTTTCATGTATCCAAGTGGTTTTGTATTAGTCTTTGTGTTGCCTTTATCTAGCTTCAGCAAAGCTGGACAAAATGCATTCCGTTATCGATCGTTGTCGCTGGCTTGCTTTCGTAGTTTCGCGGGACGAACAGTTCCTAAGAGGCCATCTATAAATTACGTGAGACTTTTAGAGAAGAATGGGGTCAAGGAAAATCACACGTATTTTTTCGGTAAAAACTGTGTTAAATTGCGAGAGAATTGAGGCAAGGTAAGTAAAACGTCGTAACAATGCGGATATTTTCAAATGTCAGCATTGTTATAAAAATAAAATTCCTTATTTATAAATTATTTCAGTATACAAAAAACCAAATATCCCTTATAACCCATATATTTTTAATTTTCTCACAGAAAAACAACCCTTTTTCATCTGTGGTGACTTCAATGCAAAGCACAATGCGTGGGGTAGCATATTAAACAAATCAAATGATCATTTATTACTTCAAGATTTTACAAATTTTAACTTAATTATTCACTCCCAAAATTCACAAACATTATTTTTATACATTTAAGATACACTACCTGATATAAGAGATTTCGGAATTACTAAAAAAACATTCCATACTATGTTACAATCAATGTTTCAAATGTACTTCCGTCTGATCATCGCCCTCTATCCTTCTTTGTCCATTTCTCCAACAAAATATAAACCAATATATTCACAGAAAAAGCGTAAATAGGTCATATTTTGCCAGATTTAATTACTCATCTTCTACCTCTTGTACCCAAACTTCAAACATAAAGTCAAATACATTAAGACATCTCACTCATACGTCGTACAATGTTGGATGCTGTAAATTTGATTGCATTCTCCCCTTCTGATATTGATATATAATATGACATAATATCACAAATTTTTACTGCTCATTCTTCTACTAATGCTCAACATGACACTTTCGTCTGCTCACAAATATAAAATACATTCTCATTCTCACCCCTTGATATATATTTTATTTCATCTTTTGAAGTACTTAATTTTATTGATAACTAAACCAAAATTATATTTTGTACCAAACTTAATTTCTACTTATATCATTAAAAAATTCCCTTTTCTGCAATCATTCAATACGCTGCTATTTTGAATTCCTGTCTTAGACTTTCTTACTTCCCTAATGCATAGGAAATAGCACATTCAGTCCCCATGGTCAAACCTAACAAATCTACTGACAATCCTTTAAATTATAAACCCACGACTCTACTATCTTCAATTGGCAAAAAACGCAGTAATTACAGACTAAATAATTTCTCAAATTCAGTTAATGCTCTATCGCATTTCCAATTTGTATTCAGAACTCTTTTATATACTGTCCATAAAATTCTTCGTTTAACAGAAGAAATTTTCTTAGCATTCCGTAACTATCAACATTTAGTGGCCAGTCTTTTTAGATATTGAAAAGCGTTTGATAAAGTAAGTCATCCAGGCCTATTATATATACTTTATTTTCCAAAAGTTCCTAACTATGTAAACAATTTAATTAAAAGCTTTTTAGAATACCGTATCCTTTGAATGCCGTAGCCTTTAAGGGAGCAATACTATCTCAACTCTTTTCAACTCATTTCTTTAAGATTTTCCTTCTACTATATATACATTTATAGCTTTATTTGCTGATGACTCAGTGCTTTATAGCACAATTCATTTTACAAACCGCAATATCATTGTTACAAACTCTTTAAACCTCATTGAAAATTGGGCTCATAACCTCATTTGCAATTGGCACATACAATTCAACGTTTCAAAATGTAACGCCAAAGTTTGTTCTTAAAGACACAATAAAATCTTACGTCCTATAGTTTTTCATAAGAGCAATATGCCATGGCTTTTTTTCAATGAACCTGTCAAATATTTAGGCATTTTAACGAACAAAAGACTTCACTGGGAAAACTATATTCTTCACGGAATCCCTTTAGCTAATTAACGTTGGAACCAACTTCTATTAGTTAAATATTTATATTTCCTTAACGTGAAAATCAAAATTTAAATTTATTCAACAATGATCCCTCCCATTCTCACTTATACCTGTCCAACAAACACCAGTAAGAAAATTCATTTTGTATTTCAATTTTCTTGCCTTAGAACTTGTTTAAAAGTGCCATGATTTATTCTTAATGAATAAATTCACAACGAATTAGGCATTGAACAAAAACTTATTTTTTTCAACTCTCCACTAAATTGTATTCCTCAATAAACCATATACCATCTGCACTCCATTTTCAGCTAGGAAAACATAACCCCCAACAAAACAGAATCAAACGAAAAGTTCTGAAACATTTCTTCCTTCCTCCTTGGCCTTTCTCGTTAGCAATAAAGCTCACCTTTGGCAAATCAATTTAAACTACTTTCATCTGAAGCTGCATCGTATTTCTCCTTCAACTCCGACTCTCAGAAAAATTGTATATTTCTTAGCTTTCACCCAAAAGCTTCGTAACCTATTGCATTCAATAAGAAACTGTTCTGCTATTAAATGCAAACAATTCATTTAAATAAATACACTTAAATAATAAAGGAAATAACTCAGAGTTACGTTTTTTCTCCTTTTTGAAAAGACGAAAAGTTGTTCAAGAGCGCAATGGAAATATTGTCACCTTCTAGATACTAATATTTACCACCTAGATTACTGATCTCTAGGTATTTTCAAGAAAAATAAAGAAAAATGTGTTCTTCCTTGTGCTTCTACTATTCACTTTCAATAGACATCTTTCATTAGATTTAAATCCTGTCTTTCCTTAAAATTTGTTCAAAACTTCAACTTCTCATATGTTTGCTTTTAGCTATATGCATAAGGAAATTAAAATATATAAAGTTGTTTACCATCATGTCGTCATAGGTCATTTAACGAGCTTGAACAAGCATGTAATCACTGTTATTGTATAAATACGTAGCGTACTACAACACGACCTTTTCCTCTCACAGAACATCACGAAAATGTGTACGTGTAGAAAATACATTCATATTTAGACACATTGGTGTCTCCTTTGGTGTCGTAGCACTGACCTGAATTCCGTCCACGTTTCGCTCTGCACGCCGCGGCCGGGCTATTATACTCCTTCGCGTGAATAGAAGTCCGCCGGCAGCGCTGCCCACCTCGCCCAACCCAACTCCGGAACATTGGCGGCTGCGCTGGGGGAGGGGGCGGGAAGAGTTGGTCGGCGGAGCAGAGGAACGCGAGATTTCTATAAAAAGGCTCTTCCATAATAGGATTTTTTTCATTTTGTACCTCCTTCGTTTTCGTCCTTTTTATTACCGAAGCTCCTCGCACGCCCTCCCTGCCTTTTTTCTCTCAGACAGTTTGTCGATACTTCAAGGGGAGGGCTGCAACTAGGGGACGAACCGTCCTTTCCACCAAGTTGGGTGTTTTGCTAAACGAGCGCGGCATACAACGCTAAGTAGACTCAGGTATTAGAAGTAAAAGCAGCTTCAAGGACTTTCGGAGCTCCACATGGCAAGTACATATTTTCTTCCTTCGCGGAATGGATCTATAATGTCAGTAATGCATGTACTGGGGATACGGAAGTTCTTTCTTTATATGAGTATATATCAGTGAAAACAAAGAAGTAACGGGCGCCATGAACCTGTCATTCTCAGTGCTGGTGAGTGTACTAGCAACAGAAATAATGTTGGTAGCACTAGCTGGAGCTTGTAACAAAAGAAAACTCACATTGCGTACTCGCCACAATCATAACAGAGGCGGGAAGTGATGTCCCCTTCACTTTTTCCCCAGTGATCTGTTTGCTACCAACAAATGAAATTGTTCGTCCAAGGCCCTGATTCGGCTCGGTGTGGGGAGACGTTCCTGGCGCCTGCATTACAGGAGTGTTGATTACTTCCGAAATAAAGATGTTAGAGATCACGGCCTACAATAAATGGAATAAATCTTATTTCTAAGGTAGTATATGGTTATGGATAGAGATATGTCTGTAATAAATTAGCAGTGCTACTACCCACATACCCTTTCGCATTATTTCGAACACGGACGAACGCACTAACGTGCTTAAGTTTCCAGCCAGAACTTTTAGTTTCTCCGCGCCGAGATACAAACTCACGTCCTTCAAGTCAACACACCAAGTACGTTATCGCTACATCACTGCAACAGCTGGACGCAGCTTTCCCGCTGCTAAAAAACAAGTGGTTCTTCGCTTTATTTCTAACTTCTTTGCAATTTTCGAAAAGTCCGAGAGTTCAACGAAAATGACAGTTGTCAATTTTTTTAATCGTCCTTTACTCTAACCAATAAAAATATTAATATCGACCAAGGAAATCTTCAGTAATAATCGTCAATAGAAAATGTGAGAAAGGAAAGGCTGGCTGCCAGCTTTAATGAGTGCGCCTCCTCCTGCGGCGCGATCTCGTGGGATCGAACAAAATCTGGGAACTTTCAACCCGTGTCTTTTCTCCACAAACATGTTCAATGCAGCCTAACAGTGGATAAAGAAATCAGACACAGCAGTGCGGCTCACACGTTGGAGACAGCACGCGGCGCAATCCTAGCCGATGGCAGTGAAATAGTTACCTCGGCAATTCTCATTGCAATAATATGGAAGGTTTTGGTTTTCCGTTCTTAATAGTACTTATTTATCTATCCTCTTAACCCTTTTCAGAAGGCTATTATCTAAATAAATACTATGGTTTTTGTTTGATGAGGGTGTCACCTGGAGGAAACACGGAGAGTTGTGGGTCTAGCGAAAATAAAATGCACCAAAATGACTTACAAGCATTCGGATCCTACCTACCCAATCGAATTTAATTTAGTGGTTCTTTTTTCACATGAAAATAAGATACAACACTTGAAATCGAAGCTAAAAGTAGAAAATAAATACTTTTTTACAATAATTTGTATTATGAAAATTGTATAACCTGTAAATGAAGTACTACTTTGCACTTTTGGCAAATGGTTCTTGTACGTTGGTGTCTCATCCTGCGTCGTCTTTGAGAAAAATCTATTCGAATATGGTTTACATCAGAATCTTTTCTTCCGGTTGCACTCGGCCTATGACGGCGAATCTGGCAAAGGTGATTTCTGAGATGATTTTCCATAGCACAAACCGCAGTAAAGTTGGACAATTATCTTTGAAAGCCGCAGTTCGTTCATTCTGTGACATTTTCACTGTGTTTCACTAAAAGCCAAGCATTATACTTGTTTTTGTTCAAATAATGTTCGTCACTTTTAGTGTTCTCATTTTTATCTTTTTTACCAGATTTGAGATAAATTTATTTGGTGTTTATTGGGTTTGTGGCATCCCCAAACCTATTTTTAAAACAGTTTTATTGGCACTTCATGGCTGAATTTCTCACCAAACTCGAAAATACGAAGCACATTTTATAATAATCAATACTGACCGAATTGTCATGAATTATTTTAGTAATGATTACTCCACAATTCATCAATTAATAAGCATGGACCTACAGCAATTCAACCGCCTGCAAAAAAGTTGAAATGTTTCCCTAAAAAATTTCATTTTGAACACATTGTGCGCAATACGCAATTTTTTCGGGTTTGTTTTCTGTGTGCAAAACAGCTATTTTTCTGGGAGCGTGTGAAACAACGCGAAACATCTGCTAAACATCTTTAACGATTGGCAATTGTCTTTCGCCTTGACGACGTTTTTATTTCTTATTTACAAACAATAGAGTTACGACACTGACGGGAATCCATTGACTTTTGTACAAGTAAGTTTTTTCTAGTTATTTCATATTTAATTTATAGTTTTTTCATTGCGCATTGATCCACGTGTTAAAGAATAGTTCACGCAACACGGGCGCGAGGTGAATCCCGCACTCGTCGCCATGTCGTCCGAACTATGCTCGTACGACAAACTCGACTCTTGTGTGAATCACAGGCTGGGCGATCTTGTTACGTAACTTACTATTTTCATGATGTGCCACTATTGCAGCCCATTCACAATTTGACTGACAGTTTAGTATATATTATTATACATTTGAACAGTAAGTCATGCATTATTTGTCAACGGTTCATGAATATACGGAATTAACGTTTGATTTCTTCTTTTTTCAGGTGTCGACTACATGCATCCAGATCTGAAGTACAACTATGTAAGTTCTTTTTATCATTGTGATACTTTTAAATGAAAATATAGATAACACTTATGAAAACTCTCATCTTCCCAGTAATAGTGACTGAGTAGTTAGAGTTATGCAAAGTTTTCGGTGGTTTTACTAGAGAAATTCACTTTCCTTTCTTTCCTCAACTTGAAGAGGGTTTGGAGGACGATCCATCTTGATCTGCACGCTATGGACGGCGGGAGCTGCCTCCTGTGTTGGCTGTGAGAATGATAGATGGGTCAGATAATTCTCCTTTGTTACTTGACTTCGCGTCAATGGACACGATCGTTCTCGCGTTGTCAGGGATAATAAAAGGAGAAATCCTTTGCGGGTCTTCTTTCTTTGGGCGCCAACTGCCCTCTTCACATCATATCCTTCTATGAAGACCTCTAGATTTCAAAAAGTTGAGTTCACCTTTCGCCTGTTAGTGTTGTGTCTTTGAGAGCACAGCACTAACAGAAATACCTGTGTACATTTTCTTGATTTCTCGGTTTTCTAGATGAGAGAGGAGACCGAGGCATGGGGTTAGTTATTTTGACGACCAAATTCAATGGTGCAAAGTAGACGTTGTTCCGACTATTAGTTTCGAAATTATACTCTTAAAATCAAATGAAGTCCAAATCCCGAAATTGGGGTAAAAAATGTGAAAAACTTAATTTCGTAATTTCTTTCAGAAATCACGTATATAAGTACATCTCTCAACGAGAAAGTCAATGGTGCAAAGCAGATGTCAATCTGACAATTAGTTTCAAAATTAAACGCTTGAAAACAAATGAAGCCCAAATCCCGAAATTGGGGCAAAAATTGGGAAAAAGTAATTCCGTAGTATCTTTCTGAAATTACGTATATAAGTACAACTCTGGACGAGAAATTCAATGGTGCAAACTAGACTTCAATCCGACTATTGGTTTCAAAATTTAACGCTTGAAAACAATTGAAGCCCAAATCCCGAAATTGGGGCAAAAAATGGGAAAAAAGTAATTCCGTAGTATCTTTCTGAAATCACGTATGTAAGAACAACTCTGGACGAGAAAGTCAATGGTTAAAATTAGACGTCAAGCCGACTATTAGTTTCAAAATTAAACGCTTGAAAACTAATGAAGGCCAAGTCCCGAAATTGGGACAAAAAATGGGAAAAAACATGATTTCGTAGTATCTTTCTGAAATCACTGAACTCACAGGCTAATTTTTGTTGTTGTAATACAAGTTTTCTGCAACACCATTTTACATTACTTAATCTTAATTAGACTTTTATGCTGATCACTGCTGTATCGCTGATAGAAATTCTGGATTTCAAGAAAACATGTTTCGAAATGTCAGCTTTTATAATCGCTTTTGTTTCCTCTATTACATGATAAAACGCAAGTATTGTTTTAGTACAATATTTATTATTATTATTATTAATAATAATAAATAATAATAATAATAATATTTGACGATAAGTAAATAAAAGTAATGAAATGAAACTAAGTTTACTTGTACGTTTTTCTCTCTCTCAACGACTTAGAAAATAGACGTTGTAACTTTTTTATATCCAGGGACACTGAATTTGAACATCGTTATAAAGAAATAAATTGTGAAATGTACGTGACCACTGCAAATATTGATCAATTAGTGAACATTTTTTTAAATTTAAATTTTGATATTTTAAAGTAAATGTTAGTGATTTGTGTATCACAATTCAAATAACACTGAAATTAGTTTTATTTTTATTTTGAATGTCAAACTTTGTGATTAGTAAAATGCAGAGACCCTGTGGCATTGTAGCACTGAAATGAACCTAGAAATCACAATTTATAAATTTCATTTCGAAACAATTTTGTGGGTGTTATTTGTACATATGTTAAAATCTTAGTAGTTTTTATCAGAAGTCCGTGTGCATGTGGTTCAAATTACTTGGAGAAGCTCTAAACTTTCTACTACTGTATGAAAATGTACTTGTCCAGTCGTTTTATTTTTAAGTGTATAGCTAGCTGTTGAACATTATGGGACGAATTAATTTAATGAATTGATCATTTCTGTGGTCAAAGTTCCCCAATTTATTTATCAGGACTGTCACTGATGTTCTTTGCATCTCTCGAATATAAATAGCTCTCGTACAGTAAAGAAAACAGAAAAATTATCGCATGTTACATCGCTGGTTCTTAAGAAGTTAGGATGGAAGATACCGCAAAGCTTGTCGCCAGACCTCCGACTGAGAGGATACAAACAATTCAAAATGCGCGCATCTCCCACTCAGGCCGGCGAAGGCGCCAGCGGCTGATGTTGGCATTCGGTTTCCGCTAGGGGCGCTCGTGTCCGTTTCCTTGGTGAAGGATTTCGGGCTTCCCGAGTGTGACATTGGTCGGTTCTCCTTCGTTCTTGCAACGCTATATAGTGGAGTACGTCATCGACGGGTGGCCTCAAGCGGCTTGCACGCCGTGATTATCTTGTAAAGTTTAAAGAAAACACCTAATTCTCTTTGGGTTTGGAATGAACACGAAGTTTGAAAGTAATTTCTGTAAATTCAAGTTACAAGTTAATTTTCTAATATCTACTTGTTGTAATTTAGAATCTCATTTTCATCCTCCATAAGCAACGATCCCAGCACCTTTCTGACCAGACTCTGTTAGTTGAAAAAATGAATGAATCTCATGAAAAAGCGAAAAAACAACAGCATACGCAATACGCATACGCAATTCCAAAATCAAAGCGACGCAATTACAGAGATACCTGAAATAATGTTGTGCGCCGAACTCGCATTCCAGATTACTGAGTGCACGCGCTAGTAAGCGTGTTTAACCTTTATTTCATTATAAAATATTATTAGCACTATGTATACCGGCTGTATAGTTTTATTCAATTTCTATTGGAATTTCCGTCGAGACTGAATAATAATCCATGAGACACGAGTCTTCAAAATATTGTGTTTCGTAATTGTTTATCGCCGTGTTTTTAATTTTGTAGCTTTGTAAAAAGCAGTTGTAAAGATTTTTTAAAAGGAACTGTTCACTTCAGTATCCTAAAAGTTATTTACGTAATGTATCGAAAGGTATTGCGATACAACATAGTAAGATGTTGCGATACAATGTCAAAAAACGTTTTGTCCAATAAAACTACTATAATTTTTATTATAATGTGACTATTCGTCTTACAAATGGTGACATGCAAGTTGATTATTGTAGTATAATTTTTTGCACATAATATGTACATTAGTTTCGTTATGCTCTCGCTTAAAATCTAGGTTTCTCAAGGTCTGTTGCTTAATTCCAGTTGTTAATATTTCTAATTTCTATGAAGTATTTAGGATTGCGTCTTACACCGTGATTACAAATCCTATTTACCCTTTCTCACTATCAAATTTCCCACCCTCAGTCTACGACGCTGTCGTAGCACCCCACATTCACACCTGACACGTAGCAGGCCAAGGATTATTAGAATGCTTCTCTTTGACTAATATACCTTAACTATTGTTATTAATGGTCCATGAATTGTGTTTTAATTTGTTTTACGAACCTAATGTCAGTTTCGTTAAGTTTGAGTCTAGTCAATTAATGCGATTTTATATTTAATAAAGGAAGTTCAACAACGTTAATCAATTGTTAGTTGATTGTTAATTCGTTAATTGTTATTAGCGGAGCACGGCACCCATTGCTCTGCCCTTCATAACCCTTTCTCTCTCTCTCTTCGTCTTCCTCCACTGCCCCTCTCTCCCCCTCCACCTCCCTCTCCCTCCCGGCAAAATGTTATAGAATGTTCAAAAATGTCTCTTCCTTTAGCTTACGGTTAGAGAAACGTTTCTTTCAGTCTTTTGACCCCAAACATTTTAGTTTTTATTGGCATAGAGTGCTTTGTTTTGGAGTAATTTAACAATATAGATTCAAAAAATCCTACAGAATCTGTTGCGGGTTGCAATTGACATGAATATTTAGTTTTGTTTTATAGCACCATCTAGTAATTGTTTTCGATATTTTAATAAATCGACATTTTGGGCGGAGATGAATTCAACGAATCAAAGATAATTAAAATTGGTACAACCATTCTTGAATTATAAATGCTTTAACTAACCCGACTTTGTTTTATATAAACGATATATAGATTTACGATATATGTCTAAGTGTCGTAAATAATCCGATTCCAATACGAGATTGGAGAATTGCTAAACAATGATGTTAGGCCGAGTTTGGTAATCAATGGAGTATTGTAATCAATAGTAATGACACGAATATTGTACAACGTTTTATCTACTTAGTAAAAACATGTTAGATTCAATGAGAACTTTCATTCCACGCTTGCATTTAGTATTCACATTCTTTTTCCTATGAGTGACGATACTGTTCTCAACAAGGAAAACAATTGAAACACAATGAGGTATACTTTTTACATGAGTAAAAATAGTTCTGATTCGGAAATAGTAAGAGCAGCAAATTCTGCTATAGAAACATTGTTATCCAAGAAATAAAGAAAGAAATACGAGCGTGAGTATTTAATTGGTAAATATTGGTGTGAAAAAAGTTCATTTCATGTTGAAAAAGTGTTTCTTGCTTCCTTTTTTGGCAAGCCAGAGAAGGAGAAACCAAGTAGTCTTTGGTCCCACTAATCTATGCTAGAGAGTACAATATCGCTTAATTACAATATTGATATCATTACGTTTACTCAGTTATTAGTGTTTTAAAATAAAGAAGTGAAAGATGTAAGTCCAAAATATTTTCAAAAGAAGAGTGGTAAAGAATGTCAACACTTTTAACGCCCCAGTATCGTAATAAAGTACACTACCACACTAGGGTAGTAAAGTACTTGATTACGAAAGTGATTATAATGGCATAATGTTTGACTTTACCTTCCCAAAGAGGATAAAAATTAAAACAGATTGAAGGGCTCTGCACTGTACTACTCATGTCACCAGAGTCTAATATAATTCCGATATGGAATGGAAATATTAGAAATATATCTGTAAATTACCTGACAATTTTTGATCTTCTTCACAGAACGCCCGAGCAAGCTACGACTTCAGCAGTAACGACCCGTTTCCGTACCCTCGCTACACAGACGACTGGTTCAACAGGTAAGACTACAAAAGCTGCTCTTTGTTTGCATGCTTTCCTCAATTATTCAGTTGAACACGGGGCTCAACGGAGGTCTACGGCGGAGGGTAAGGGACCCTTATGCGTCCAGCCGGAGAGATCCCAGGAGCGAAGACATTCAGGACAGAAAGGAGAAAGATGTAAACAGGGCTGCGTACGAGTTACTTCGAAATTGACGAATGTTTGCTTCCGAAATAACAATACATAAAGTACGCTTTGAAATACTGTAAAACAAATTTAGTTTGCGTTGTTGATACTTCTGTAGTTTCAGGAGTACACACTTACATGAACTTAAAAAAAACTTGCAGTGAGATGTTAGCAAATACCGGACTAAACATGCCTACTTCCCCTAGGCGTTGGAAGTAGGGCAAAAATATTAACGTTTATACACGTAAAGGAACAAAGAACAAGAAGAACACACACACACAAAGAAATTGAATCTTCAGAAAGTCATTCAAACTGCAGTTACTTGCGTATTTAGTAATGGTTTCCGTTCTTTAACCTCTACAAACCCGTCTTGCGTTATGGAACAGTATCGTACAACGTTAAGAACACTAAGAATTACAAAGAACGTAATTTTTTGTTAAAAAGTGCTGCGGAGCTGTTACCGCCGAGATTTCTCTCAGTGCTCGTGCACCGTCACGGACGCGTGCTGAGAAGCTGAGGTAGTCTTGGGCAGCAGCTTATACCATTGCAAGGATTGAAACCATTGAAGGACACGAAAATAATTTGTGATTTGTCTTGTAATATTGTTTATTAAATTTATTTTGTTGTGTATCAATTGAGAATTTTTCTTTGAATTAGTACATATAATAAGATAACAATCTTTGTAGTTGAATGATACGTAATGCAATGTCCTTAATCTCTCAATATTTGACTGCCATCTGCAGATACCGATCATTCTAAACCTCCTTCTCATGCATATGTTAATAATTTCAGTAAGTGCGGTGATTCTCATGAAAGGTTAAACGCAACACTCCCCGCACATGCAAAACCGAGAAGAGGCAATGAGTCTATTCCACCTGTAATGACGGCATATTTAAACTCGGTGTTATTTCGCGCGGTGTGCGCCCGCAGCTCGTCTTTGTCGTTCCCACTCGTTAGGCGCGGGCGCAGCGCAGACGAGAGCCGGGCGCGCTGGAGCCGGGGTGGGTTCGTCCTCGCGCTCGCTGAATAAAGCCCCAAGCAAACACAAATAACAAGGAGATAAAAGTCCAGAGGGTTGGAAATAGCGCAGGGGATGGAGGGGCAGAGAGGGGAAGGAGGGGCGGGCAGGGTGGAGGAGGTAGGAGAAAGATGTAAGAGAAACGGAAAGTGAAACACAGAGAGGGTAACACAAAGGGAATAAAACAGCGCGATGGATGCGAGAGATATTGTTCAGAGGGGGAAGGCGTCGGACTTAGAGGGAGGGAAAAGAGGATGCGAGGATATAAAAAGCGAACGATGCGGAAGGCAGCCTTTGAATCCAGAAAACGTGTAATATAATAAATAGGACCTTCGGTGAAGAGAGAGTTCGTCGTCGGTCGTGGAGGGCGGCCTTCTATAGAAGAGCAGAGCAGCCCTGGTGCGCTGCCGCTGCGGCGAGAGGTGGCTCAGGCCATCAACTGATGTCTCTGCAGTCTCTCTGATCCGGAGGTCCTAGGGTTACTATGTGGCAGGGTTTTCGAATGTAGCTTGTTAGTTAGGTCGAATTCAGTCGCTGTCTGGAGGGAAATTCTAGCGATCAGCTGCTCAGATCGGTAGTTTTCCGTGGTTGCTCCAATCAACACCAGGCGAATGCCGGAACACTACCCTAACAAAAAGGCCACGGACCAATCTTTCCTTCCCATTTCGGGTTCTATCCTCTCCCCTTTACACACACTGCACAAACACACCCGCCGGGAGATCGGTCAGGAGCTTAGACCTTGCCTCTGCGGGAGATACCTGATTTGGGAAAGCCCCGCTACTCACGGTAGATCAGCGCCAGCTGGGAGAAGACCACCGCCATCTCTCAAGCAAAAACACGCACTACACTTTCGGGACTAATGGCCTTGATAGCTGACGCAACCAGAGTCACTAACAATCAATCAATCAACGAGCGGGGAAACGATCGCTGGCATCATGGTCTGGGACTGAACCTCTGCAGTCGCATTAACTGAGTCGACAACTGAACTGCTGCTCGCGGTCGCATCAGTGACGAACTAATAGCGTTCGTCAAGATAACATGATGAAATCGCTCTAGTTTACCTCCTGTTGCTATTGCGAAGAAATGGCGCTATTTTTCATTCGTTACGTCATCGGCGGACGAAAATATTAAGAATATTTCTTAACGTGGTGCTTTATTTCTTGCAATCGAATAGATGTTTTTAACCTCGGGAAGTCAACGAAAAATGTAGTTTTCTACATTATTATTGTCAATGTAATAATTATGATAAGTGCTCATGATTCTTTGCCTTTATCATTATCGGGAATTCAAAAACATATTTTAGTGAACAGTGAAAGACGTAGAGCGCTGAGCTAGGAAAGCTATGAAACGAAGATGAACTGTTGAAGAGCAGGAGGCTAAAATGTGGAAAATGCAGAAACCACGCATTACTTGAGAAACAGCTAAGAAAAGTTAAACAACCGAACAGCAGCTGCCTCCCGATGGGACAGGCAGGCAGGCAAACGA